TGAGCAAGGCTAATAAACAATAACTGAGCTCTATGTGGTATTTACTGCATTGAATCAGTGTTTTAACATTTTGTCTAATAAACATTGAAAAGCACTACATGTATGACTAACTAAATGTGAAATAAATAATACAGAAATACTAATTAAAGTAATAATACTAATTTTACTCATTGTAAATTGTGGTAAGTAACTGCCAACTTGAATTCTGAAATATTTCACTTTCTGACAGGGAATGTCCATGTATGATCAAAATGCATTTTGGGAGATTTAGTTTATGGTCCTGCTGGCTTTAAAGCAAATTATTTGAGACATTAATACTATTAATGCTATTCARTTACTTAAAGCCAACAGCTTTGTGGCAGGAAAACTATTATTGTCTTTCACCTTTTAAATTTGTTTATTAGGTTGCATTAAATCATAAATCGAAAGTTTAATGTTTATATCAAATTGAGTTAAAGATAAAAAACACACACACACACACACACACACACACACACACACACACACACACACACACACACACACACACACACACACACACACACACAGGGTGGGATTGGGGTCATTGGGACAAATGTCAGTCATCCACGGGCCACGTTTGGCCCACGGGTCTTGAGTTTGAAACATGTACCCAATTGCTAAAAATAAAAGGGCATTTCTTTTTTCAAATTAACTTTAACAGTGGTAGAACCTTGAACCTGGCATGAGAAAATGAAAATCGTTTTCATCAACTCTTTAGATATTTCTTTTCTCTGCGCATTATGAATTCAGGGTGTACTGTAAAATCGCTCTAAGTCGTAGAGAATACATACTTTTAATGTACAATAATTAGATTTAATGTTCCTCATTGCATGTYTTCCAACTACTTTTACTTTTACCTTTCAACTTTTAAAAATTTACAGCCAAACACACATATYCTCAAGATCTACACACTCTCACATACAAGCCCATCTCCCTTTATGTTTTTTATCTTTGTAAGAGACAATTAGAGGAGTTCCACTGCTCCTATGCATAAATGATATGGAGGTCATGGTTGAAAGCAATAGGCTGCAGCATTAGTTATGAATTCATAATTTGTAGTGGTAGGATGGGGCTTAATCCCATGTGTCATGTTCTCATCTCAGTTTAATTAAAAGTGACCTCGGAAAGAGCAATCACAATCTAATTTGGTTGGAGGCGTGACAGGAAGGGGGTGAAAAATGAGGTGTTATTGTGTGATTGTGAGTGTGTTCATGTCAGCGCTCGTGTGAAGTTTTTGTACAGCTGGGTCTTACCCTTTAAGTGAGGCAGGGAATCTCTCTGAAGCTTTGAGTCTGATTTCAGCCATGCAGCGGGTCTTTGACACCATGTCATGATGTTGCACATCCTGCAGGAATATTCATATTTCAATTTGAGGGAATTATCAACTCAAATAAAAATTTATTTCAAAGCTAAAACAAAATAAAAAGTTCTCATTTTTTATCTGGTTTTATTAGAATGAGACAAAATCCCTAAATGCACAAAGTACAAGCTAAACAGGAATGCATCTATTCAGTAGACAACCTGGAAAGAATAGTCAGAGGATCCAATCCAAGTAAGAGGCAGTGTGTTATAAAAATGTTAAACGAAAACAGGGAATAGATCAAAACCTGAGGCCGTKTAGTGGTTGGCTAAAGGAAGAACTGCATCAATGAGAAAAAAGGAAAAGTGACCGCAGGGACAAATTGTGCAAAGACTCACACTTAGTGAGCACATTAACTTTGATTATGAACACTTGTTTCTTCTTTGCACTAGGCTYCAGTTCCACAAAGCTTTTCTGATATTTGAAACTGCAGTACTTCTTTACTTCTCGCAAGCTAAGTTGGCAAGCGAATCAGGTTGTGGCCTGTTTAACAATAGGGATGAATGGAGCGGTTGAAAATAAAAGTAAGGCCTTATCATTCATCATTCTATACAATAGGGGGTGGTTTACTATAATTACAGAAAATTGCTTTTGTTGTTGRACATTATGGATTTGCTGGCCCTCATTTTACTGTGTTTGTGGTACACAAATTAGTTTTTTTAGACTTTCTCTCTTTCTTTTGATAAAGTTGACAAAGCAGACATTTAAACTAATTTCGTCAGACATTGTGTCGTGTTGGGTTTCTGAGATAAAATGTCAGGAGATGATAAAGATTGGTAGATAAGACTGACGATCAGAGATGTCAGACGCTTTTTTTCCCGGGAGGGAGAGACAGACTTGTGGGTTGAAAGACAGACGCCAACAAGCAGAGAGGCATGTGGATACACAAAGATGATTGAGACTCCGCTTTTCCCCCATCACCTATTTGTAAGGTAATTTATCTCAGAAAACATCTTCCATCCAGACCCAACAGACTTTCAGTCGATGTGAACTGAAAAGTGTTTCAAATTGTTTGGCAGATGAAGCAAAACATGGAGATGATGAGAGTGATCAAAATGTGGAATGTAAGGTAGTATGAGGAGTTGCGCATAATCTAAAGGATATGTCTTGTTTTGGTTTGTTTTTTCAAGCATACTCTGAAGCAACAATACTCAGTAGCTCAAATATTCAATAACACTTGTTATTCAATTCAATCYTATGTATATTACATATAGGTTAATTTATATCAATGCCTTTATCCTATTTTTTGTAACTAGAATGGTTTCATGTGGGACGAAAAGAGAAAAAAATAATATAAATCAAAATAACTTATTTTGTATWTATTGCACAAGCCAGTTAAATATTTTAAAGATATACCAGGTTATCCACAAAATAAAAGAAACATATATAGACCTGGAAATGTGTATAATAAAATCCCTGAGGTTTTTTTTGCTTAGCAGTTTTCTTCTGCTAATAGAGCTCTGAATCAAATGTTGTGATTCTGCCTTGCTTCATTGCAAATCATGAATATGTATTTTCTCATCAACACATTGTGCATGCATTTTCCACAATTTATAATGAATTACCCCTGATTCATTTTGGACCCAAGGGCCATAAATTTTATGTTTGTGAAACGAAATACGTAAGAGCTCTCTGATACACTTCTTTTTCTTTCAGAAATCATTATTATATTATATTATATTATATTATATTATATTATATTATATTATATTATATTATATTATATTATATTATATTATATCATATTAGTTTTCACTGTTTCCTCCCCAAGTCCAGAAAGTGCTATTTGTTGCTTTTCAGTGGAATTGGGTATGAATCTGTGTGTGTGTACGCATGATTGTGTGTCTCAGTTTTGGCCTGGTGGACTGGTGACCTCTCCAGGGGGTGTCCCCTGTCCTCTTCCCATTGA